TATATATATGATATTTGGCTTCATCCAATACCCAAAGCCCATCCCAATACTAATTCTTCCAGGGAAGATTAGCCATTCCCTTTTTCTCCATAAAGAGGCTCGTTGGACCTTTGGGCTTGAACTGAGTGTCCTGTTTTCCCCCGTGAAGACCCCATCTGGACAGCCCCGTACACGCGGCGCTTTCACAACAGGCGAGGGAGCCAGGCCCTACACTGAGTGCTTTCAAGAGATTTCACTGATCTCGCAATCATCCTGTAAGGAAAGTGCTGTTATTTGCATTAAGGAAAACACAAAAGAGAATTTTAGCCAGAAAGTACAAGAATCAGCTTCCCCAGGAGCTTTATCTAGTGCCAGAATCTGTGCACTTGACCTCTTATTAAACACTTAACTGTTAGACTCTTGGAGCACCAGAGTAAATACCAATTAAAAAAAAAACCCAAAACAACCCAAAACTTTCCACTTGGGTTCCCAAAAGCTCCATGAATCGAAGTGCTAGAACAGCTTTCTCAGTATGCTCTGCTTGCCCGTTTGTAATCCTGTCCACACAGGTTGTGCTTAGGGTGAAAGCCTTCTCATCTAGATAGCTTCCATGGCACGGGGGAAGGTTCCCAGCTCCGCTCGCGGGGCTCTACTCTTAATCATGCCCTACAAGAAGCACTGGCTGGGGTGGGAAAGGGGCTGCACGAAAGAAGGTGGGAAAGCCCTACTGACCCTCAGGAATGCTGAGCAGGGTGTTCCACAGAGGCCACTACTTTTCTCCTTCTCCTTCTCCTTATTATTGTTATTATTATTATTATTATTTTGGTGGTACCAGGGATCGAACTCAGAATCTTGTGTTTGTCAGGCAAGCACTTATTCCACTGAGCTATCTCCCTGGCCCTGATGCTGTATCTTTCTACTCGATCATGTACCCCCTTTTCTCTCCTGGGACATCTATTCCTGTAACATGACAAGAATGCTTCTCTATCACTGAACGTTCACTTTCTCTTATTGTCAGAATTCTAAGTAATTGAGTTCTCAAAATACTGTGAAGCAAAGCTGCAAGAATTAGGAGTTCCTTGTTGTTGTCATGGAGACATTTTTAGGGACAGGCAGGAACATGGCATATAAATGTAACTCTTGTGATAAATCGCTTGACATTCTTAGAACAATTAGTATGGAGCAGAAGACCAGCAATTCTTTTTTAGAAAGTTTCTACTGTGTCCATGACTAATTGTTAGTATTCAGATGCAGAATATTCTTCTGTAATGCTCTTGAAAATCCAGAGCTATTACACTTTTAGGGGCAGGGGAGGAATCTGAAATTTCTTGACTGTTGTGGTAAGTTATCTGGGAGAGGGCAGCAACACATGTACGGATAAATAAAACTGCTGTGGCAAGGCTCCTATGTTTGTAAGCCTTAACAAACTAATTATACACGCTAGCTCTCCTTATCATACACAGGATTAAAATGCTTTGGAATCTTCTTTAAGACTAATGAACACAATTTAATGTAGCACACTTGTGTCTGAGCGTGGTGGACAAGTCAGTGTTTTAAGTACAGTCACAGATTTGTGCAAACAACACTACAAACAACTTTGGAATAGTTTCACTATCTTCAAAAGAAACCACACATACCCCTTGGCTAGCGTTCTTCAATGTCCCCTGATCCTTGAGCCTTGCACAACTCTGTCTTCTAATCAAGATTGTCCTCGCTCTTGATTCCATAAATGGAACCCTACAATATGGGGACTTTTGTGTCTGGTCTCTTCCACTTGGCATAATGCTCCAAGCTCCTCTTTATTACCAAATAATATTGAATTCTCTGGACATCTCACATTTGATTTATCTATTTATCACTTGGTAGATATCTGGGTTACTCCTACTTTTCGGTTGTTATAAATAATGCGCTCGGAACATTCATACATGACTTCTTGTGTGAACACATATTTTTGTTTCTCCCAGATACGTACATCTAGGAGTACAACTGTTGCACCTTAACTCTATATTTGACCTTTGAGCATTTCCAAACTAGTTCCCACAGAGGCTACACTAGTCTACTATTTTTCCAGCAATGTTTGAAGGTTCCGATTCTCTATCCTCAACAACACTTGTAATTTTCCATTTTGACTCTAGCCTGCTAGTATATGTGAAGTGGTACTTCACTGTGGTTCTGATTTATATTTCTCTGCCAAATGTTTTCTTGAATTAAGTAACAGGAAGGTTACTTTTGAGGATCACAGTCTCCTGCCTGCGACTTTGGACTTCGGCACCCGCTGCTCATGACCTCAGTCAGTGTTCTCAAGAACTTGCCCTCCTGGCCACAGCTGACCTCCAAAACAGGGATTGAGAGTGGCTGGAGATGGAGGAGAGGTGAAGGAGCAGAAGTGGACTCTCGCTGCGAGCCTCGGAGTGGGGAGGAAGCCCAGTGTCTGGGTGCTTACATTTGGCAGGAGCAGTAAAAGCCTGGAGGCCCACCCTGTACAAGGGTGGGGAGCAGGGCAGGAGGTGGGAGGTGGCACCAGGGGTGAGAGCGGACCCCGGAGAGGAAGGAGGGCTCCCGGGAGATTATCAGAGCAAAGCCAGACAGAGCAGCAAGCAGAATTGCTGTGGACTAAGACTATCTTATGCACTGAAGTATCTTGGAGAGACCTGGGTAAGCACTGCAATTTCTGGGGCAGTGTATCTCCAGAACAAAAGGCCGATCTGGCATTCAGGTGTGAGTGGCATGCGTGACCCTTTCGGGATGGCAGACTTGGAGGACTCAGTGCTTCATGCGGTTCTCCTGAGGTAAACTCACTCCATGGACCTTGTGGTGGAGGGTGCAGTCTAAAAGAAATGTAGGATAAAATACAACCAAGATGGCTG